GATTGATGCCCGGGTGCGGTCAAGGGATGGCTCCCTTTGGTCAACCACGTTATGTATGCCGATAATTTGGTAATTGGTAATTTTGTACCAACGGACACTCCACCCCTACAACTCCCAATCGGCGATGGGGCAGTTGTGGAGAGAGTGGAGAGTTTCCCATACCTGGGCAGTGTGCTCATGCCCGGATCTGGTTTAACAGCAGAGGTCTCACTCCGAATCAGTCGAGCGGCAATGTCTTTTCATCGGCTGCGTAACGCTGTGTGGAAGCTACCTGGTCTGTCGCTCCGCACGAAGCTTCAGGTCTTCTCGGCCACGGTCCTTCCTTCCCTTCTCAACGCTTGCGAAACGTGGACCCCCCTAATAGAGCATCTTCGCCGGTTAGAAACATTTAGACTGGCCTGCCTACGATGCATCCTGGGTTTAACCAGGCTGGATTGGGTGAGGAGCTCACAAATCCTTGAAAGATCTGGGCAAAGTCCCATCGGCGAGCTACTCCGGCAGGCAAGGCTGCGTTGGCTGGGTCATGTAGCCCGCATGCCCAGCCACCGCATGCCTAACCAGCTTTTGTTCGGTCGGATAGAGGGGGCTAAACGGGAGGGGCATGGGCTAGAGAAGAGATGCAGTGATGTGGTACAGGAGGACGTGGAGCTGAGTGGACTTGCCGATGACTGGTACCAGCAGTGTCAAGATCGGCCTCAGTGGAGGAGGCTCGTGAAGGACGCAACTGGGCAGTTGAAGGCAGTCGACCTCAAAAAACAACAGAGGGCGGAAGAGTAACGCTCATAACGAGCAAAACGCCGGGTGGCTAAAGCGAGTAACGCTCATAACAACGAGCAGAACGCCGGGTGGCTAAAGCGCAGCAAGTTGGCACAGTCGGGGGCACAGGTGATGCATCAGACAGTCATCTCAGACATCTCAGTCAGTCGACCTGTGGCACCTGGGTCTGCCCGTGACCTTCTGCCAGTGGGCGTTCGACTCTTCATGTAGCCTCAAGGTGCACATGGCCTGGCACAAGTGTTGTGGTGACGTCACTGCCACTTAGTGGCGATTGGCGGTTGTTGTGCGAGTCAATGTGTGTGTGTGACAGTCACTGTTTGTTTGTGTATGTCCATGTGTGTGTGTGCAATGTGTGTTTAAGCCGGTGTGTGTCAGTCGATGTGTGTGTGCATAGTTCCATGTGCGTGTGAGTCTATGTATGTGTGTGTTTAATTCGATGTGCTTGTGTGTGTTAGTCGATGTGTGTGTGTGTACGTCGAAATCTGTTTCTGCGTGAGTCCATGTGCGTTTGTAAGTCGACGTGTGTGTGTGTAAGTCGATGTGTTTGTGTGTGGGTCGATGTGTGTCAGTTGATGCGTGTGTGTACGTCGATATGTGTGTGAGTCCATGTGTAATGTCTGTGTCTAAGTCCATGTGTGCGTGGGAGTCGATGTGCGTGTCTGCGTCGTAAGTCTATGTGTGCGTGTGACTCGATGTGTGTGTGAGTCGATATGTGTGAGTCGTTGTGTGTGTGAGAGTCGATGTGTGTGTGTGAGAGTCCTTGTGTGTGTGTGATTCGATGTATGTGTGTATTAGTTGCTGTGTGTTGCGTGGCTCCATGTGAGTGTGTAAGTCAATTCCTTTGTGTGTGTGTAGGTTCATGTGTGTGTGTGATTCGATGTGTTTGTTTGTGTAAGTGAAAAAAAATGTGTGTGCGTGTAAATCGATGTGTGTGAGTCGATGTATGTGTGTGTAAGCCAAAAAAACATTGTGTATGTAATTCGATGTGTGAGTTGATGTATGTGTAAGTCCATGTGTGTGTGTGTTAGTCGCTGTGTGTTTGTAAGTCGATGTGTGTGTGTTGATGTATCTGTAAGTTAATATACAAAATATAATTTAGCATGTAATTCAATGTGTGTGGGTCGATGTGTGTGTGTCGGTCGATGTGTGTGTGTGTGTGTGAGTCGCTATGTGTGTGTGGGTCGATATATATGCGTAAATCGATGTGTGTGTGTATGTAAGTCGATGTGTTTGTGTGTATACGTTGATGTTTGTGTGTATGTCGGTATGTCTACGTGTAAGTGGATGTGTGTGTGGCTCTGTGTGCGTGTGTGAGTAGATGTGTGTGTAAGTCGATGTGTGTGTGTGATAGTCAATATGTGCGTGTAGGTCGATGTGTGTGTGAGTCTATGTATGTAAGTCGATGTGTGTTTTTTGCGCGGGCAACGCCGGGTACTTCCCGCTAGTTTAATATACGCATCGTCTTCGAAACTGATTGGCCGACACCAGCCAGCAGCAGCCTTCTTCATGGCCGAGCCTCACTAGTGTCAGACCCATCTGGTGTAGGCCAATCAGTTTAAAAGAAAATGCGAGTACGGTATATTATCAAAGCATGTTTGTTTGCATGTTCACCACAACTACGTGTGGTCAATGTGGATTTTATTCATTGCAAAAGGTATCTATTCTGGTGTTTAAACATCTTAACACAACTCCTGTTTTATTGGCAGAAAGGGGTAAAACTGATTATTATTTTTCATACTTCTCTTGACTCGCGTGAACCAGGAGTGTGATCTCTGGGCGCCACGGTCTCTTTCCGTCGTTATCATCACACTTTATGATTGTACGTGTTTTCAATAACGCCATCAATAAAGTAGGTACCGGTGTTACAGCGGAATGGGAACGGCACAGGAGCGTGGAACAAGGGCCATAAATAAAACTCGTCACGACTTTAAACGGCTACACGCCGACTTAGAAAAAAAACAAATGGCCAACGCGCGCAATGATTATATAGCACTAGCTGTACCTGGCGTAACATCTAGCACATCTTACATTGACGGTGTATTTACTTATATTTTATAATCAAAGATTTCTCTGAAAACATAATTTTGAAGTTTTGGGTTATTTTCTGACACTACACTTAAGTCAATCAAATGATCAGACTCTGAAGAGAGCATCATGTCACCTCCCTTGCCAGTATCAAAATATAAGAATAGGTTTTACCCATTCTGTCAATAAAAGAGTGTTAAGATGTTAAAACACCAAAATTACATTTTTTGCAAGGAACCATGTCTGCATTTTCACCACAATGCTCGTGGTGAACATGCAAATAAAAAAACACATGCTCTGATAGGGTATGATGTATTGTCTTTGCAACTGATTGGTCCACACCAGTGACAGCTTTCTTTAGAGCCTAGTCTCAAACAGTGTTAGACCAGAGGACGCCAAAAAGGCAAACATCGTAAATACAATGCACTATCAGGAAATTGAGAGCTTGGGGTGAGCTTTTCGCCTTTTGTGCTGCATATACTATCAGATCACGATTTGTATTTCCATGTTCACCATAGGTATATGTAGTTAATGCAGGCATCATTCTTTGCAAATGGTTTCAGTTTAGTGTTTTAACATTTTAACACTGTTTTATTGACAGAAAGGGCAAAAACTATTATTATATTTTTATACTGGCATGGGAGGGGAGATCCTATGATGGACACGGGGGTGTTGTGCGGAGGCAATTTTTTTAAAAAATATATAGATTGTGCACGCACAAAACAAATGGAGATCGACTCAACATCTTTTAGTACAATAACAAGGGCATAAGTCAAAATCGCGGATAATCCAAAAATATCCATTTTCCGCAGATCTCTATGCCAGAAAACACACGTAAAGGTATAACATGCAAAAACATTTAAAATAAACATGCTCTGATATTATAGGGAGGTCCCATGATGTATCAATAGATGAGGGCCCTCCGTTATGTACGTCCGTCAATTCATCATCACTACCACCGAAATTGTCGCTTCCTTTGCTTGCAGGAGAGTCGGGACTCACCCTGGCAGTTCCAACTCCATTGGTGTTGAATTTTCAGAGCCGCGTTATGCAATAGGCCATAGTGGACACTGTGCCTAGGCCCTACGGAAACTAAAGGGCCTAACGAAAAAACCAATTGACCCATGTGTTTGTTTTTCTTGTATGGTAAAACACGCAACCAAGACATATTGCTGAATAAACATAACTATATAGCAAGGATAGGCAACAGTGTATATACAAAGAGACAGGCATGTCAATGTCAATGTTTTTTTTAATAAGGTGAAAAAAAATAGCAATAACATCTTCAAATGGTGATTTTCGCACAATCTCATTCTCAATAGAGAGTAGGGTAAGGGAAGACAAGGCGTTGATGTTGTCCCATAGTTGATCGGAAACAGCATTTTTAATCAGCTTTAGCGAGTGACAGCGGTGGTAGTAACATGGGCAGCAGTGCCAGTTGTTGGCAAGTTATTACTGAAGACTACGAAACAGAAATGCGTAGGGCCTACAACAACATTAATCCGGCCTTGTCTTCATCAAGTAAATGGCTGCTAAATAATTTCCCTTCGCTGCACTACAGCTTGTCACTGCGCTACAGTTCCTGTCTGCCAGCATTACAGCTCCAGTCACCCTGCACTACAACTCCTGTCACTCTGCACTACAGCTCCTGTCTCCCTGCATTAGAGCTCCAGTCACCCTGCACTACAGCTCCTGTCACTCTGCACTACAGCTCCTATCTCCCTGCACTACAGCTCCTGCCACTTACACTACAGCTCCTGTCTTCCTGCACTACAGCTCATGTCACTGCACTACAGCTCCAGTCACCCTGCACTACAGCTCATGTGCCCTTGCACTACAGCTCCTTTCAGTGAGAGAGAGAGGTCGAGTGAGGACATAAGTCTGAGTGAACCCGAGAAGGCACGTGACCGGACGAGGTGGTAGCGAGAGCCAAAGAGGAGGTGAGAGGGACACGTGATGTGGGCCTTGAGTCTGCGAGAAGGATCTGGAAAGGGGCGTGGCCAAAGGCGTATCCTGGCCACGCCGCAGCCCATAAGGCCGAGTCCCGAGAGTGATCGTGGCTGTTCATCTCTGGGAAGAAATCTTCGGTCTTCGCACACGTGGACCAGGCAGCATATTAGCTGCCTCACTTGTCACTACAATTACACCACTATTCATTAACAACTCCATTCTTTATTAGCTCAACTACTATAATCTTATTTGCTCTTTTATACTCTTTGTAATGCACATCGGATTAAGGCATCGGGCAGTACTTTCAGATGCGCTTCTGTGGCCGCCTAGAATGCTCTTCCTTCCGAAATTGGTAAGCCACTGGAGCTGTGCACTTTTAAACCATCATCTACCTTAACAAACTCATGTATTAAACATTTATTTTTGTGTTTAGTGTGTTGCCCTTCCCCTGCACCTCTTATTCGCAAAGTTTGATACATATGGCGCAAAATAAGTTAAAAACAAATACACTTTATTCTCAGTAGGTCTGCCTCAGGTAGGAATGGTTGAGCAGTCGTGAGTGCAGAGTGCTATGCATCCAATTATCTGAGTTTAATTCCTAGCCATGGCTAACATCAGTCATACATGCATCATTGTCAGAAGTGCGCATGCCTGATTAGCATGGTTGGCTACATACAAAATAAGTTCAACATACATACAAACGTCAAATACACTGACCAGAGTAGTGAAGTATGGTCAAACGACGACCATCCCAGTATGGGGAGACCATTATGCATCAATGTATTGAAAAAAGGGCACGCATTTATTATAATAATTGGTCCTGGGCCTCCCCTAGGTAGAATCAAAGTTTGTATCTTTTCTTTGTGTTATGTCGTAGGTCTCTTTTCCCTCTCTCTCGCTTCTCGAGGCATGTGTGTGTGGGTGGCTTGCAGTCGGAGATCAGGTAGTCGCAGAAAGCACCGTCTTTCCTTTATTATGTTCACGCCACCAACTCCGGCCCCCTCTCTCACGAATATGCTGCCATACAGGCCAACCCAGACACGACCCTGTCCACGTTGCAGCGAGATAGCCAACTAATATTCGGCCTCGCAATGACCGGGTGAAGGCGGCAGCGACGAAGGTGGCGACAACGGCAGTGACGAGATGAGTCCGCTCCCAGAACCGGCAGCCCAGAGCTCTCGCTCTCCGATGCTTATATTCCCCTCCGCGCAGCTTGACTCCACCCTAGCCGCGCTTCCCTTCTCGAACCCACCAGAGGGTTCCAGGGGCCTCCCCACGAGGTCTACCGTGACCCTCGCCCCAGTTCCTCTGCCCTGCCGGCACACCCATGTATATGCTCAACGGCGTGTGTGCTAAGTGTCCAACTGCAGTTGCAGCTGCTGTCCAACAGTCAACGTTGTGTCACTACATCATCCCCTCCCCCCTCCGTTAAAAAAAAACAGCTATCCCTGGTATCAATACAGCAGCAGAAACTGGTGGGCAGGCAGAGCAACCCCCAAATCTTGAAGAAAACCCTTAACATCAACGAAAAGAAAAAAATTCAACACAATCCCGTTACAACCGCGGAACCCCCTGTGAATCAACACACCTCGCTACCCCCCGGTGTCCCCTGATAACCAAACTAACACAACCCAACGCAACACTCCCAATTTCGCGAATTGGCAACTTTCCCCACAGCACGGCGCCCCCATCCGCGAATAGACAACACCTTACACAGCCCCCCATCCATGAATCGGCAACACCTTACACCAAACACGGCACCCCCTCGCAATCGCAGCACTTTACACAACACGGCGCTCACTCACAATCGACACACTTCCTCATTACCCCTTAACCCAGGCCGTTAACCCCAACACTTCCTTGAGTTCCTTCCCAAGGCAAGGGAGAGTCCCCCCCATACAGGGACATAGCTCGCGTGATCCGGTCCATGGCACAGGTCACCCGCGTCTTAGCGGGGTCTTGCACCTCCGGAACCCTGAGGGACAATAGATGATGGACACAGAGAGCTCGGCTCAAAGGGCGTGGCTTCTCACCACTCAGCAGCACCCGCTCAGATCCAGTCCCCGACACCTCACACTTGGTGGTCTCGGTAGGCCTCAGGGACCCAGGTCCGGCGGGGCTTGGGTTCACTTTGCCTGCAGGCCAGAGGGCGCAGGTGGTCACTCGTCACCTGGACACTCCGCAGCGATGTGGCTCAATCGGCCACATATGAAGCATTTGTGCGTGGGTCCCCAGGACAGAGGGAGCTGCCCCCACCGCGGGTCCTCCCACGGGGATCCTCTTGCCTGCATCCCCCGGCCCTCCACTGCCGCCATCATATTTTCCATGCTCCATGCCGTGTCCTCCCACTTTGCCTGCTGCTGCTTTTCCTCAAAGACCTGTATCTTCCGGGCCACCGTTAAGGATGAAATCTCTGTGCCAACGGCAGAGGGCAGGGCAACTCTCAGCTTTCTTGTCAGCTCCAGGCAGCCTTTCTGCCACGCAAAGGTCGAGTGCCCCCTCACCCAGAAGTGGGTATGCCTCCCATCCCAGCACCAGCAGTGCTGCCTGGAAGGCGTAGGGCGTCCCGTCCTCCATCCACACCCTCTGTAGGAATCTTGTTACGAGCCTCTCATGCCATCTCAGGAGCAGCTTCTTGCAGCTCCGTCACTCTTTGCACCTCCTCCGTGGGTTCCCCTGCTTGCCTTAAAATGGTGCCCGCTGGCCACGGGAGGTCCTCCGGAGACAAATTGGTGCCCACCATGTGCCCAGTCCCCCATCCGTAGCCCCTTGCTCCTGCTCCGACGGAAGCTCTTGCTGGGTTTTTCCCACTCTCCTCCATGCCATCTCCTGCGGTACGCTCCATGTGCTGGCCTGTGCCCCTCTACACATGGCGTTCCTCGGCCATGCTGCTTGGTTGGCGTGTGACCACGGGAAAATTTCAGCCTCTCTCCCCATTGACGTGCAGCTCACGCCGTCTCTTCATTGATGTACAGCCACTCTCTCTCTGTTGATGTACAGCCCCGGCTCTCACTCTCTCCATTGATGTTAAGCTGCTCTCTCTTTGTCGACGTGCAGCCGCTCTCTCTCCGTCAACATGCAGCCACTCTCTCTCAATCAACGTACAGCAGTTCTTGCCGTCGATGCGCAACCGCTCTCGCCATCTTGTGTAGCCGCTCCCGCCGTCGACACTCAGCCACTCTCTCTCCGTCAACGTGTGGCATTGCCACCACGACGGTGCGGGAACCCCCCCCCCGGGCGGTACAACAGGCAGCCCCATGGTCTCACGGCCGCCTAGTATGGCAGCGCAAGTGAGGAGCTGACAGCAGGACCCCAGCAGTGCACGAAGTGGTGGCAAAGGTGGTTTCCGGCTCAGCACCAAGGTGGGGAGTCCACCAGGGCAACCGCGAAAGCAATCCGATAGGTCAGGCGAAGAGCCACGGAGGAGCCCGGAGCCAGACAGGAAGGCAGACGGTGGCAAAGCAGACGAGTGTATGCCACTAAGCGGGGGGGAGCAGCCCAAAGTTTGGGGCGGCTCCAGCGAGTCGGGATGCTGGCTAGGCTGCTGTAGCAAAAATAATGGGCCATAAAGAATAAATACAGAAGGGAAAAAGAGGGAACTGAAATACGAAGGATGTGGGAGGGAGAAGAGGTGAGAAAGGCGATGATTGAGAGCAAGAGCTGGAGCAGAGAATCACTGCCTGCAGGTGCGGAGCCATCTGATGCGTTGTTCGTGTGCAAGAGACTGCTGTTGGTAGGCAAGTAGCTAACTCTATGAGAGGGCCTCGGGACTGAAGGGGAGGCCCTCCATTTAGAAAACCTTCCCTGCCGCCTGCGAGGCGTGCACAGGGGGTCTTCGCCCTGAGAAATCATCTCCCTGAGCTGTCGGAAGGTCACGTGTCCACGGGTGGCAGGGATATTTTTGGGTGCAATTGTGAAAAATAGCTATATCAGACATGAGCACATCTAATCGGCATAATAATTGGTTTACTTCAGCTCAACGACTCAGTCCTTACAATGCATGTGGTGAAGTGAGTACATGTACCATGTGTTATGCATTTAAAGGCCTGAATACCAGAATCGGTGATTTCATCGACGATGAGTTCAGATATTAGGCCGTGCTCACGCCGCATGCAGAGGAACCACCGCCAGGCAATTTGAATTGTAAACGAAGCGGTTCGCCCTCTGTCAGTCGAGATCAGGCACGGGCCGATATTACTCCGCCATGCACCACCAGAGGTCGAGAAAAATAAAAAAAAGCGCTGATTCGCAGTATGTGTGTGGCGGGAGGGGCCTCCTTTAGGTTTTTCTCACACCACTCCCAAGCTGTCTCTGCACCGAAAATCCTGGAGCAAAGCTTTGGCAAGGGGGGGGGGGGGCTGTAGAGCTACACACATATATACATGCCCACAAGTCGATAATGGTATATATATATACCCCAACCACAGCTGCCGTTCACTACTAAGTGGCGGTGACGGTACCTTGACGCTTGTGCCAGGCTAGGTGCACCGTGAGGCCACGTGAAGTGTTAAAGGCTTACCGGCAGGAAACTAAGCACGTTGCTTGTTATATACAGATACATAAAAAAAATACAAAGATCCCCCATTTCGCCTTGACAGACTGTTGGGGCAAGTGCTGTTTGCGAGCACCCATGAAGGTCGGCACGGCACACGAGGGAATGAGCGGCCAGCATCATGCCCGCACAGATGCACACATACGTTTAGAGCAATCCACCTATATAGAGACACACTCACCATGAACCGATGACCGCACGGGCACTTCCTACTCTACGAAGCGGGGTGGAATATTAACCCGTGTGAGGTCGCGAGGTGCAAAGTGGTTTCCCAACCGAGGTGCGCGATGATGAACCTCCGGTGTATGCCGGTGCACTCGGAGAGGGAGGGGAAGAGGACCCAAGAGGGCTGCACTCTGGCCGAGTGCGGCTCAGGGTCGCCCCTCCGCCCCCCCCTCCCCCACGCATCGCTCTATGATTTTTGGTGCCGAGAGTCAGCTCAAGGGAGGCCTCCCCGTGCGTGTGTGGGGCGAACCGCTGCCAGTTGGCTTCCAGGGCACAGGGCTAGCGGCCCCTGCGCGCTCAAGTGAAAGGACTGTCCTCCCATACAGGGGATGAGGACACAGAGGAGGAGATGGAGACCTGCCGGGGCGGCCTCATCAAGTCCGAGCGCCAGGCCCGGCGGCGTGGCAGAGGGGCCATGCGACGCACACCGGCAGGACTTGCTCGCGGAAACTGAATGATGATGGTGGCCCGAGGTCCTGGCAAAAGCGGGTAGCTACCTTGGGCTGACACTTGCCGCATCGGCAAGGCCTCGGGGTGGCGCAGCCTCACCAATTATGCTTATGTAGACTCTGCATCGCATAACACATCGTCTCTCTCAGAGATAATCAAAGGCAATCCTCAAGTCTCCTCTGTGAGCCCATTTGCCCTTCAGTTCCATCTTCCCCTCTTCACTGAAGCCATTGCCCCGCACCCTGCAGCACACAGAGAGGTTCACGGTGAAGCGGGGTTCATAGCAGCCTCAGGCAACTCCTCGCAGCTCGAAACCCAAGGAGCCCCCACAGCAACAGCAACAACAACCACGCTATGGAAGTTAGTTTACCATACTTCACCAAACTGGTCAGTGAAGATAGGTGATGACTGGGACTGCAGATGTGGGATGTAGGTTTCCATTACTTTATGCGGGTTTAGTTTGTGCGATTCTGTATACGACGCTAACACATTTCTATCCAAAATTCACTATATATGCGGTTTGAATTCACGCATATGTCAACACTGTCTATGTACTGTATGTGCTATTCGGCAGGTAGGCAGCTGTCTTGTGCGGTTTCACTTTGTCCATAATTTTTTTGGAATGCATCGACCGCATACAACAAGCAAAACCTCTATTAGTACGGTACTATGGTGGGATTGTGCTATGCTGCATCCTGCTACTGACACCAACACCCTGCAGCCCATAACACTTGTTATTATTCCTGGTTGTCACCCACCTAATAACTATCCACCCTCAAACCTGCTTCTCTTCCAGATCTGATATGAACAGGCACATTCCCAGTGATTTGGCCGTGTGCCTGGGACTCAGAATTAATATCAAATGCACTACAATACACAACACTATTACTAATCTAACCACTTGTAAATACCGCTTCTTCATAGAGCATAAATTTGCTCCAAAGAAAGGTAATTTCCTGAAATGTCACAAATTATGTATTCTCTTTCATGGCAGTGTTTTTTTTTTGTAACGATAATACGCAGTTTTCACACAAAGAGCGTATTAGAAACACGTAGAACATCTTTACCCGAGCCACCACAATGCTCTGTTGATGCTGATGATGTCATGGAGACCCGCGATTGATTTATCCGTCAGTGAGCAGCGATCCAGGCTACAGGGAGAGAAGAGACGAATCAGGGTTGAGCAGAGATTGAGAGATGGTGGAGCAGCGCAGAGTGACGGATGGTGAGTGGTGGAGAGGGGTGAATAAGTGATTGTGGAGACAGTGGAGGACGAGAACACCAGCTTTAATAGGAGCTCGCAAATAGCAATTGCTCTCAAGCTGCAGCAGTAACAGCACCCACTGCCTTTATCATCTTCTTCATCATCTTCTTCATCATCATTATCACAGCGACTCGAGGCGTCAGTGGCATTCCAATGAATTCCCAAGGGCGTACCAATAATTGTCTAATGGGATGACGCTCTGTTGGAAGACCCGACCTTCACCTTTCTCCCCGCTAATTACCACAGAAAATCGTGGCCAGGGCGGACACCTGAATGTGGCACTATCCTGCGTCTTTTGCAGAGGAGACGTGCCAGGCAACCCCACCAGCCAATCCCCTCCCCCTCTGTCCTACCCAAGTCCCCCACCTTGTTGGGTGCCTCGCTCCTTCCCTCACTAATTCCCCCAGGCCCGCAAAATGTTTTGTGATAACCAGGTCTTGTCGAGGCCCAGTACAACATACACTGGCTGTCAGTAGGGTCGTGATAGCACGTGGACTGCCAACGGTCTCCAAGGCGAGGCTGCGTTCTCCTCCAGGGCTGGCACGGACGTCTGATTGCATCTGGCTCCGCTGCTCCATTTGTCTCACCAACCCATCTTTTATTTTCTCTATCCTACCCGAGCCCCCCCCTTTTCGGACCCACCTCTACTTCCCTCACCGTCTCCCCTGGGGCATGGAGTGGTTGAAGGTGTTAGCGGCTCGAGTGCGGGCGTAGCTTGCAAAGGGGCCGTCCATAAATTACGTCACGCGATTTTTGACCCCCTCGTCACACGGCGTCACAAAAAGTCACCCCCCCCTCAAATATGACGTCACAAAGCTCTGCCCCCCCCCCCCCTCGAAAATCATATTTGTATTTTGAAAATAAAACATGCTTCAAATCGCTTTAAACTATTGTCATTGTAGTGCGTATTTAATATGGCGCTGCACTCTGATGTTGTAGGAGTGTTATTATAACAATTAGTGTTGTTATAACAATTCTATATTCATTTAAAGTTGCGCACTTTGATGCGACGTCACATTTCTCAAGCCCCCCCGCCCCCTCGTCACACATCGTCACAAATATCTGACACCCCCCCCCCCCCCCCCCAGGTGCGTGACGTCAATTATGGACGGCCCCAAAGGCGCTGCGCGAAAAAGAAGCGAGGAGGTGGTGGGAGTGGCGCGTGGGTGCACTTACTAAGTGTTCATGGAGGAGCGGCGTGAGTTGCGCAGCATTACGTGGTGGGCGGTGGAAGCAATGTGCAGCAGGGCAAAGTCGTGCAGCGGCATGCATGTATGTTTAACTTATTTTGCACCGTACGTAGGCAACGTTTCTAATAGGTGGTACGGGGGGAATGACAGCAAACTGAACACAAAAAGTACTTAAAAAAAACTAGTTTAAATCTATATTTAAAAGCACACAGCTCCAGTGGCTTCCTAATATTAGAAGGAAAAGTGTTCCAGACGGCCGCAGAAGCACATCTGAAAGCGTGTGATGCAGTGGACATCTTTGTTCGATGCCCAGCGGCATGTGGAGCGAGTGTGGGAGTGGATTGCTGGGGAGTTTGTTGTATGGTGGGAGCAGCATAAATCCTGCTTGTTGTCACTCGCTAAAGCTTGCCTGCCTCCAGTGAATTTTTCTTTCTGGCTCCTCTTTCTCGTTCACTTATTTAATTCTCATTTTCTCTCACTCCTCCTAGTGGATGGACCCCACCCATCAATCTGCTCCTTGTCCAACTCTTCCACCATGGCCTCCTCTATCTTGCTACTGTGCATGCTTCTCTCCCTCCACTTATCCACATTCACCTCTCTCATCGTCCCATCCTCTCCTTCTGCCAGACAATTCCCTACCTTATGCCCCTCCACTCTTACCTCCCTCTCCGCCCCTCCTCAATTCTTGCCCCCTCTCTACCTCATTCCCTCCACTTTCAAATGATTCCCTCTGTCGTCCATTCACACCTATAATACTAAACTATTTTCATTTTTCGATTTAAAGCTTTCGTGACTGCAGGGATTCATCTTCTTGGTTCTTTCGGTAAAGTCACGTAGAATGGAAATAAAATAATAAAAATAAAACATAATAAAATTTTCACGTTTCGGCCACAACACAAGTAGCCTTCTTTAGGTGAAGGAACAGGACTGTCGGGACGACAGCGCTTCAATGATCGCTGTTAAGCTTCGCAGCGTCTTTTAAGCTAGGCTGGAGGAGCAGAGCGCCTTGACAAAGGAGTTTACATACCAATAGAAGAATTTAGCATTGAAATAGTTCTGTTAAAGTGTTAGATTAGCAGGGTGGTAAAGGTCAGAAATTAGCATGTAACTGGGAGATTAGCATGATGTTAATGTGAGGGATTAACATGTAATTGGTCATGGAAGTAGCTCTGTTGAAGTCAGATGCCAATATATAGTATCGTAATTGTACAGTGAATATACAGCAGTGTGGTATACAGTAGGCTTGGAAGAATAATACATAGTGTAATATTACAATTCTAACATTTTATAGTCTAAAGTATAGGGCAGTGTATAGTAACGCAATGTCAGTGCTTTGGCTTCAATATACTAAATACCTCTGTTGATATGTAAACTCTGCCTTCAACAAAGCTACTTCTGTGACTAGTTACATGTTAATCCCTCACATTAACATCATGCTAATCTCCCAGTTACATGCTAATTTCTGACCTTTACCACCCTGCTAATCTAACACTTTAACATAACTATTTCAATGCTAAATTCTTCTATTGGTATGTAAACTCCTTTGTCAAGGCGCTCTGCTCCTCCAGCCTAGCTTAAAAGACACTGCGAAGCTTAACAGCGTTCACTGAAGCGCTGTCGTCCCGACAGTCCTGTTCTTTCACCTGAAGAAGGCTACTTGTGTTGTGTCCGAAACGTCGTGAGAATTTTATTGCTTTACTTTTATTATTTTATTTCCATTCTACGTGACTTTACCGAAAGAACCAAGAAGATAAACTATTTTCATTTTACTAGGTAAGGCCCACTGAGCTATGTAGCTCTTTTTTTAGAAGCGACCTGGCCACAAATGATAGCTCAACGAAGTTGATTATCTCGTGGAAATTGATATCAGCCACATAATTGAAGCATAATTCTAAATGTGGAGGGAAAACCCGGAGGACTCGGTTGAAAATCCACGTGGCCACAGATAGAACATGTAAATTTCAAATATACAGGCGTCAGAATCGAACACAGGACCTCCAGTATACCAAGCGAGATAGTCAACATCTCTGAGCCACCTCTCGCTTCTTAAAATATAATTTCCTTCCACTAGCTCTCTCTCTACTTCCCTAAAAATTGCTGCTCTCCTAATATGTCATCAATGTTCTTCTATTAAACTCCTGCGACACAGGCCCATTTGTTGATAACCAAATATCCGTTAGTAAGCTGCTAGTCTTGCTCCTACCCACGAGCAGGATTGAACGTACCTCTGGGCCTATATCGTTCGTTCCTCCCTCTTCTTTATTTAGCGCAACCAACTTTGCTAATCGTTCCGGCTTAGGCATCCTCCATCTGAACATTCTGGATTTCTGAACAAAACTGGACCTTCTCAAGCTTGAGTAAGACAACCGCTGACCAGACATTGTCTGCGCTAGCGAAAATGAGGCTCTCATCTAGAAATAACGCTAATTAAATTTGTATGCATAACTTTAGAGTTGACAGGTCCTCTCTGTATTGTTGGATGTGTGCATTTGAGCATCCGTCTCATTTGTGTTTCTGTGTGTGTCCTATAACGCCTCCCATTTCCTCTTGAATTCCTCCCATTTCTTTAATAACTAACAATTATCTCGCCTTCCTCCCATTTCCTAAAAAAAGTATTCCATTTCCTCTCAAAATACTTCCATATATGTTTTGTGTGTGGGGAGTGATATTGCAGCGGATAGCACGCTGTGCTACGAACCCTACAACTAAAGTTCGATTCCTGTTCACAGGCAACACCAGTGGCGATTATCTGAACCGGTCATGGGCCTCCCCTAAGTTGATTCAGCCTCAAATGAGTACCTGGTGTGGTGTGTTAGTAAACATCGCCACTGGTGGACAAAGGTGGACAGGTGTGGTGCTAGCCACCCACCCCCTCATGTGGTGTACCGGCCATCATAGGTACTCGCTAAGAGCACTTGCCCCAACTCTCTGTTGAGGCTATATGAGGGATCTTTTATCTTTGTATTTGTGTGTTTGTGCATGCGAGGGGGGGGGGCGATGATGCAGTGGTTCGCGCACTGCTCTAAGAACCCGACGACTCGAGTTTGATTCCAGCGCACGGCCAACATTGGTTATAAATATGTGAACGGGTCCTAGGCCTCCATTAGGTCAATTGAGCCTTAAATAATTATCTGGTGCAGTGTGAGAACATCAGCACTGAGCAGATAACGGTGGTGAGGCATAGTGCTGGCCACCACCCTCCTTCCCTCATCTGGTGTGCTTACTTTCCAGCTAGCCTTCGACATTTCACGTGGCCTCAAAGTGGACCTGGCCTGGCGCCGTGGTGATATCACCACCACTTACTTGCGAATGGCGGCTGTTGTTGTTATGTGTACATGTTTACGTACGCGTGTATGTATGTGTGTGTATATGTGGGTTGCACGAGGACATCACTTACTATAACATCTCCAAACGCCCTTCTCTCCCCACCATCCCATCCATCAGAAGTTGGATGATGTCTGTAAGGTTGTTGCCACTCAGCCTAAACCCACGTAGACAAAAGAAGAGAGAACGCTGACTCAATGCGCCCCTTGAATGTATTATCTCCTATTTCAGCTTTCCTCCCCATTTCTTTGCTGACGATACACACGCATCTTATTTTCCTTTTCCTCTTTCACCCCTGATATTTCCTCTGGCATGTCCTCCACCTGTCTTGCTGCCATCCAATATTGGATGGCGTCTTCTTTCTCTCAATTCGTCTAAAACTTCAAACGTTTTCTTGATAGCCTCTCACTCTCCTCCTCCCGTCCCAACCATCTCCTTCCCTCCTCTCTCCCGCATTCCTGTTTGCGCTTCCCCCAACCTTTGTGTCACCTTTGCCTCTTCCCTCACCCATTCCACTCACATCTCTGCTACTACTCGCATCTGCCGCTTTCATCTGTTCAACATCATTTACCATGGCATTTCCCAACCTGATCTCGCCTCTCTCGTCTCCTTCCATGTCCCCTTCTCGTCCTCTTCGTTCCCCAATCGTTCCCAATCTTCTCTCGGTCTCTGTCACTCCTGCTCCCTGTGCTCAATGCCGTCTTCACTTTTTCGCTCTCCTTGCACCCCTCCCCTGAAATAAATGTATCTTAAACATGCGCTGCCCATAGACTCAACACCGCCCTATACTCAACACTGCCTATAGACTCAACACTGCCCATAGAATAAATACTGCCACTGTACATGAAGCAGTCCTCCTCCATAATAACCTCCTTCCATTCCTCTCTTAAAGCCTCACCTCTTCTCTATCATCCATTAACTCAACACTGTCCATTTACTCAACAACGCCCATAGACTCAACACTGCCCCTGACGTGAAGCAGTCCCCCGCCCAAATCTCCTTTCATTCTTCTCTTAAAGCCTCACCTCTTCTCCACCGTCCATTCCCTTCCTCTTAATTCACCTCGCCTCTCCACTCCTTTCTGTCCCTTCCCTGCCCTTTTGTGACCCCACGTGCCCTCTGTTATGGTCACTCATTCCTCGGCCCTTGTACTGTTCTTGCCATTTAAATACATCTGTTGCGGTTACCGATTTTAAACGATGCAAAGCCCCTTCAGCTAAGGCACTATGAGTATAAAATAAGATACGCAACAACAGTTGGACACTCAAAATCTGGGTGAACATGACCAGTGCACAGCTGCTTACAGTTTGATGCCAGTGTTATACATTTATATATATAAACCAGGAGACATTTAAAAAAATTGCTATACTCAACAATTGTTTGTCATTCTGCACTGCACCATTATAATCTAGAAAAGATCGCATTCATATGAACATAATGTTGTATCAGTAGTTTATGAACGAGTTGTTTTGTATCTATGATCACAGGGACGTGTTTTATAATGAACGTTGTGAATATGAAGATGAATTTAACTAATGTGTTAAGGTTGCAGTAAAACTTCCTAAAGCTGAACCCAATTAAGCAGGGATCCTGGGTTAACCTAGAAATCCTCCCCAAAATGGCTTTATATATATGGGGCATAAGCCAGATTTTAAAATAAAGCAATAAACTATGGGTAGAAAACTGCTCACATGTACATCGGTCTGCAACAGGGGTAGGATACAGAGTTCTCTATGCTAATCAAGCGAATACAATTTGATATTTCGATGATAATCAAGTGTATGGAAATTGTGAGATCTTAATGCTTTTCAAGTGGAGGAAATATGAGCTGTTTACAATATTCAAGTACAGCTGTAATGACCTGCCGCCCTGGAAGTGTAATCACGGGTATGGGCAAGGTTACGTAACAACTAATCAGAAGGGGGGCGCGTATCTGGGTTCAGGTAAAAGGTGGGGTTAGTTGGGAAGCTCTGGGAACTTGCTCGAAAGTTTTGGAAGGAGGCTTGGCAAGAGTCGGGGTCTGGCCACGCCGAGAGGTATATACAGTAAGGGGGATGGACCCTAGGGTTCAGGGTTGTTGCGGGGTCCCGGGTCCTCGATGTGGTGCTGTCCCCCTGGTTTGTTTCCCTCGTTTTCTAACGAGCTGGACGTCTCACTAACACAGCCGCTGTTGTGTTGGTTCGTTGACATTGACATGCGAATCGCTCGCAATAAAATGGCCACCTCCTGAGCTCTGTGTCGTCGTCATCGTGCTTCACTCCCCCCCCCCCCCATCTCGGTTCCCATCTTTGGATTTCCCACTCGCTTAGGCACAATCTCTAGCCCCCATCCTCTCGCCCGATGCTGCAAACCGACCTCCCTCCCATCTCGGCTCTATATACTGTATAAGGACTTGTTTCAGCTGCAAGTTTCTCTCTCCCACCTGAAGACGATTGCTTGTGTGGCGATTGAAACGTCGTCATCTATTATTTTTTTCTACCTCCGTGACTTTACCGAAAGAACCAAAGAGTATGGATTCCTGCAGTTACGAAAGGTTCAAATCAAGATTTTTCGTTCATATTTCAAGGTTTGCGTAAAGAACCGTGTTGCATGATATAATAACAGCAACAATTACAATATTTTGTGCAAAGAGCATACGTGAGCATACGTGAGAAACGAGCAACAGAACTTCTTTACCGGAGTTTTTTCAACTTTGCGTTGGCCTCAAGGATGTTTCTGAGGGAAGAACTTGACTTGTCGGTCAGTGAGCAGCAATCCAGCCTACAGGGAGGGGAGAGAGACAGTGAGGAGGGGGCAGTAAGGGGCTGTAGGAGAGCATGGGGGAGGGGGGCATAGTGTGGATCGATGACTGGCGGTGATTCAGGGGGTTAGTGGTGGATGGGGGGCGAGTTGGTGAGGAGCGTGGTTGTGGAGTCTGTGAGCACCTATTAAACTCACGCCAGCTTAAATGGGATCTCGCAAATAGCAACCGCTGTTTCACTTTCGAAACATGCATTGAGATTACTTTGATTATTTTTGCTGCTATACATATCTTCGTGATAAGCCCACTTTGTTGAGCTATCATTTGTGATAGCCAGGTCGCTTCTGAAAAACAAGTTAATGCTGAAGTGGCATTTGCCTGGTAGGATGGGGTTGGTTTAGTTCTATTTGTATGTTTAGGCGATGTACTCTGGATGTGCTTCACATAATGTTTTTTCAGGTTTGTTGAATTCTCGTCTCTCATCTTTTTGTTGTATTCACCTCCGTCATTTGTTCGTGACACCTGATGAAGATCGCTTGCGTTGTGATCGAAACGTCGTGATTGTTTTTTGTTTTAATATAATTTTATTGTATTTCTACATACGTGACTTTACCGAAAAAAACAATGAGTAATTTTATGCAGTCACGAAAGCTTTAATACTTTATTATCACACTTCTACGGGGAAGTTACCGTTGTAATTATGTGTAAGATGTGCCCTTTTTCAGCTGCCGTTTTGTATTTACAAGAGGTGGTCCTTTTTTGAGCTGCCGTTTTGTATGTGTAAGATGTGCGTGTTTGAGCTGCCGCTCTCGCTCTGGCCCCTCCCCCCCTCCAACCGTATTTCCTATTTAAGCTTCTGTTCATCCCTCCGCCCCCCCCCCCTCTCTCTCTGCCTCCCTGTCCGTATTTCCTCCCTCCTTACCTCTTGGTGGACTTGTATATGTATTTCTACTGACCGTGTACCTCGTATTTTTCATTCTATCTATGCTGGTATGTGCAATCCAAAGGTTGAACACGAAATTTAACACTTCTAAAATTCGTGGTCCGCCAGGAAGCGTCTAACTGTGTTGTTGGCCTGACTGGATGTGCTTCACATGTTTTTTCAGGTTTGTTGAATTCTCGTCTCTCATCTATTTGTTGTATTTACCTCCGTGATTTGTTCTTGACACCTGATGAAGATCGCTTGCGTTGTGATCGAAATGTCGTGATTGTTTTTTGTTTTAATATAATTTTATTGTATTTCTACATACGTGACTTTACCGAAAAAACCAATGAGTAATTTTATGCAGTCGCGAAAGCTTTAATACTTTATTTAGGCGATGTGTTTACCTTTATTGTACTTTGCACTCCAATTGTGTTTTTGTATTGTTGTGACGTTCTTACCCCGTGCTCCCACTGGACATTGGTGAAATGAAGCTGCATAGCTCATCGGATTCCTCCCGCAGTATAAACAAATATTTTTTATTCTGATTCTGAGGTTCAAGGGGTTAAAATGCGATGTTTTCCTTTGTGCGTGTACACAAGTGTGTAGCGATGAGCTCGCTGTGCTATGAACCCAGCTACCCAAGTTTAATTCCCGCTCATTGACCACACCAGTGACTATTTATCTAAACTGGTTCTGGCTCTCCCCTAGATCTGCTCTGCTGGCCACCCACTCCCTCATGTGCTGTGCTGGCCTTCATATTTTCTCCTACTCGCTAACAGCACTTGCCCCAACGGTCTGTTAAGGTTATATGGGGGATCTTTGTCTTTGTATGTGAACACGTCTTGAAAAAAACAACCGACCCCGCCATCTTGTTGATTGCCGGTCGGTAACACTGTGGTATGCTGTGAGCAGTGCCATTCTGGTAAGGCTGAAAATAATCATCTCAAATTTCGATTTAAAGCTTTCGTGACTGCAATGATTCATCTTCTTTGGTTCTTTCGGTAAAGTCACGTAGAATGAGAATAAAATAATAAATTGATAAAATAACACAATAATATATAATATATATAATCATCTCAACTAAACTATTACATTTTTTTTTTACCAGGTAAGGCCCAATGACCTATGTAGCTCTTTTTTAGAAGCGACCTGAGTACAAATGATAGCTCGACGAAGTGGCTTATCATGTGGACATTTAAAGCAGCCAAATACTTTAAAACACATGTTTCTAAATGTGGAGGGAAAAGCCGGAGGACCCAATGAAAAATTAACGCGTCTACGGGTATAACATGCAAACTCCAAATACATAGGCATTAGGGTCGGGATCAAACTCACGTTCTCCTGCATACCAGGCGAGGTAGTTAACATCTACTCATCGCGGTCCCCCTCTTGGCGCTCGCAGCTGCCACGGTGGTCAATGGGGGCTCTGCAAATGTGCAAGTGGCTAGTGACCCCTCCCCACCTTCAATGCCATTACCCCGTTAATCGACATGCAAAAAACAAACTAAGCTTGTGCTGGAGGCCCTGATCTTGGGGGTTTTCCAGAAACAGCAGCAAACAACTGCTTGTGGTCACATAGAATGTTTGAATGCTCACTGCGGATAAGAGACTGCCATTATAGTAGATCATCGATTATCCGGCACGCAATTATCCAGCTTCCAAAATAACCGGGTAGTTCCAGGCCGATCTGGCAAAACAGCCATGCAATCCGGCGATCGCCGGAATACCGCTCCAAAGGCTGCACCAGTCTGGCGATTGGCACCGTGTGCATGAAAAAAAACGAAGTAGCTATGTTAATGTGTGTGTGCGTGAATGTGTGTTGCATCAGGACATCACTCACTCTAATGTCTCCAAGTTTCCTTCTCTCCCCACCATACCGTCTGCCAGCAGTTGTATTCCCTCTGTCAGGCTGTTGCCACTCAGCCTAAACCCACGTGGACAAAATAAGGGGACAGCCCTAACTCATTGAGCCCACGTGAACTGCGGCGTCAAACATGCAGCAAGTGGTGAACATGACCAGCACATATGCACTGGGTCTTTCGGTCAAAAGAAGTTCAACATACATTGGTCAAAAGAAGTTCAACATACATGCATACATACGGACAGGGTAAAGCCTATTATTTTATTTTTGTTAATGCTACTGGTATTTGTTGTATGTGTAACAGGTGATATTCACGCATACTTATCACTGCACTTAAAATATTTCAAACAACACACACACAGAAATGGGTACAAGCATACAAGTCTTTTTAATGCATATACAAAAAGCATGAGCTGCTCGTGAACAAATGCAATGGTGCTTTTGTGTTAGCTCACCATCAAATAAAATTCGAGCAAATGTGACTCACTGACTGACAACATCAGTAACAGACAGCTCTGGTCACGTAGAGGTAAAGTCTTCCTCTGGGTGACAATATGTGTGGAGTACCCACTTTCATGCCAACTCCGTCAGGTTCGGGATCGAACCCACAATTCCCTGCATAGCAGGCAAGACAGTTACCATATCCTAGCCACCGTGGCGCCATTGGCTTGCGGTGACCGAAGACAAGGTAATGGCAATGCACTTCTTCAGTAAGTGCAGCTGGTTTTTGTACATGCACACAGGCTGTGTGCTTTTCACACGTTTCTTTGTGTTGTATGAACATTACGCTTTCACAGACTTCTTCTTTCATATGGCATTGTGAAAAGCAACAGTTTTTTTTTTTTCTTAATGATCGTCATAAATGAATATGAAGGTTCCTCATCCAGTTCAATTATGTGGTTGATGCAGTGTGGATTTCAGCGATACAGCCAGGATGTGAATGGATGGAGCATTCATCGGTGATGTGCTTAATGGTTTGGACTTCTCCACAGTGGCAGTTGGGTGATTCTTTGATCTTACATTATGGAACGTGTACGTGCATCTGCCATGTTGTGTTCGAGCGTGGTTCAGCGTGGTTCATAGTCGTCATGGAAGAGAGAATCCTGGTACTTCTACCGTCAGATCGTGAATTATATTTTTGTTTGCCACGTCCATAGACGCTCACGATTCACACCACCGAGTGGAGGTGTCTTTATTTTCGGCTGCTAGAGCGGAGGTGCGTATCCAGAACGGTTCCCTGTATTTTAGCCTTGGGGGTGGGGGTTCCTTGAGATCTTGATGGAGCGGCAGAGTGAAGTTCTTCATTATCTTGTTGTACTGCCGTGTCGTTGCATCATCGCGTCAGATGTTGGCCGGAGCGATATTCGCCAACACAGGAAACCACGGGAGTGGAGTAGACTTTAACGAACCGCTGATGATATGAAGCGCGTTGTTAATTTCGGCCTCGACAAGGTTTGTTTGAGGGCTTGCACCCCACACTGGGGCACAGTACTCCGCAGTGGAGTGAACAAGGGCCTGCGTTGATATCTTCAGCGTACTGGCATCGCTTGCCCAGGTTGTTCCTGCAAGTTTCTGAATAAGTCACTCGTGCTTTCGTTTTATCTTAAGCGTGTTTGAGGCAGTGATGGTGGTTAAGCGTCCGATCCAGGATAGCTCCTATATACTGAGGGTGTTCATCATGCCTTATCTTCGTCGCGCAGAAGTTAAAGTTAAACGTTATTGAAGCTTGTCTGTTGTTCAGGTGGAAGGCGGGGATGACACTCTTCGATGGGTTAGGCTTAAGGCACCAGACTGCACTCTTATAATGGGTTTTTTGTCATTTACAGATTTCATGTGGAATATTATACTGTACTATACTGTTAGAATCTGGAAGAATGAAATCTCATATGAAGACCACAATGTCGCCGTGGTTTACGCACAATGCTGATATTCTGCATTGAGAAGTAAAGTTAATCATGCATCTTGTATATGGATATTTATTGTTAATCTTATCGTTATATATTTAATTATACAATTAAAATAACTGCAGACTGAAATCAAGTGTGTATGTGTGTAGTAACATGTATGCATTAGTGTACAGTACACGCACGTGTGTTTGTATTGGCAAATTAGGGGACACAACTGGTGTGCATCGGCCAGTCATCTCAGTCAGTCAACCCATGGCACCTTCTGGATCTGTCCCGTGGCCTCCTGCCAGCATGCGTTCGACACCTCACATGGCCTCGAAGTGCACCTAGCCTGGCACAAGCGCCGTGGTATTGTCACTGCCACTTAATGGCGATTGTTGTTGTTGTGTGTGTGAGAGAGAGAAATAAAGACAAATTAATAAGTGCAAAAGCTTGACTATATCTCCCTGACTTGCCACTGCCTCGTTGTTGTATATGAGAGTTCGTCGAAGTGTCTTGATGTGGTTGTCAGCATTTCTTCGCGTGACTTTTGGGCCACGCTTTTTTTGCGAGCCTGTGTTCGCGCGCGTTCTTCAGCTCACACGTGTGCTTTCGTATTTAGTGTACTGTAGTGTAGTGCGCAGATTGTGGCAAATGCGCTACAAACCCTGCGACCCGAATTCGCTTCCCGCTCACGGCCAACACCGGTGACGATTATCTGAACCGGTTTTGGGACTTCCCTAGATAGCTTTAGCCTCAAAAAAGTATCTGGTACGGTGTGTAAACATCGCCACTAGGGGAGACAAAGGCGGCCGGGCGTGGTGCTGGCCACCCACCCCCTCGTGTGCCGTGCCGGCCTTCATAGGTGCTACTCGCTAACAGCACTTGTCCCAACAGTCTGTTAAGGCTTTAAGGGAGATATTTGTCTTGATGTGTAGTGGAGGAATGTAGTGTGAGGGTAAAGTGAGGATTAGGCGAGTGTGGCATGACCCAAAGATTAGGCAAAAAAAGCTCAGAATGAGACAGTGGCAAGGTTGGGAGATATATTCAAGTTTTGGTACTGTTATCAATTGTTTTTTATTTCTCTCTCACACACAGACACTCAACAATCGCCACTAAGTGGCGGTGACATCACCACGGCGCTTGTGCCAGGCTATGTGCACGTTAAGGCCACATGAAGTGTCGAACGCCCGAAGGCAGGAGGTCACGGAACAGACCCAGCAGGTACCATGGGTTTGACTGATTGAGATGACTGCCGATGCACCACCTGTGCCCCCTACTGTGTCAACTTGTGTTTTATCAGCCCAGCGCTCTGCTCGTTGTTGTGAGCATCGCTCCTCTGCCCTCTCTCTCCCACACACACTCGCATGCAAACACACCATTTGTGAAGCAGTTGAACGCAAGGCGCGCGAGTCTTACCGCAACACTTTAATTCTGTGCAGCGCAGGCTGGAGCCTCTTCATATCCTCGGTGCCGATGCCACAGCTTTGCAGGTTGAGGCGATGCACGGGCTCGTCCCGGAACTGCAGCATCCAGCAGAGCGCGGCGCAGTCGAGCGAGGACAGCCTCGTGTAGGAGAGGTCCAGCGCGGCCATGGAGCTGGTGGCCTCGCTCAGTGCCCCCGGGTCCTGCAGCTCGTGCAGCCGATGGAGCAGACTGAGGAGGCGGTGGCCGTTCTGGTTACGCGTCGCCCTGTTGTGGAGCGTGAGCCACTCGTTGATTGCCGTCTGGGACTCAACAGACGGAGGGTCGACAATGCCATCGAGGATCTTCCATGGAGCATCTGTGGCCAGTCCGCAAAGGAACCTCTGAAACACGTCATAGCGCCCGTCCTTGTCGTCCTCAATAGCCTCGATGACACGGGCAACTGAGTGCTTGGACGGCCATATTAGCTCGGAGACTCGCGCAAGGAATCCACGTTTGGGTTGTTCCAAATAAACTGCCAGGGCGGCAAGATATTCTTGGATTGTCAGGTGGGAAAATGAATATAATGTGTCACGCCTGACGCCATCCCATCTAAAAACCTTATTGATGAATGTGCTCGATCCTTCAGCAATGGTGACCTCAAACTTTTGAAGATACGCGCGCGTGAATATCTGCATGTTTTCATGAACCCCTTCGAGAGCCATCTTAGAAAGCGATGCAATAATTTTGCTGGTCTCCGTTGAATCACCCGTGTGGTGTTTGACGAGCACGAACAGGTAACGCGTAAATAGATCTGTCGTAGACCTCAGGGCAAATTCAGAAGTGCCCGGGCGTTTTATTAGATCCTCAATTGTAATGGCGGACATGTGACAGAACGAGGGATTGTAGCACAAATCACTCAGCGTTGCATTTTTCTCCAGAAGCTGGTACGCTCTCTCTCCCAGGATGGGATCCTTGTAGAATTTGCAAAAGAACGATTTTCTCTCTTCCACAGAAAACCCAGTTATTTCCACAGAGCGGTCAACTCTCACTTCATCCAACTTCTCCATCGCTATCGGCCTGGTCGTTATCAAAACAGAAGATCCTGCGAGGAGCTTTCCAGTTACCAAACCAGCAATGAGCGCTTCCAAATTTGTTCTCTCGCGGGGATCATTACAAGCTTTTGAGAAATCAAGATGCCTCCCAAATTCATCCAAACCGTCCATCACAAACAAGACTTCCTCTGGTTTTTCAAATACATAATCAGCCATCTCTCCCAAACTTGGATTCAGTGTGCGCAGTAACTCTGCGAGTGACACCTCGCCAATATCACTCATCTCTCTGAATGGAATGTAGACAACAACTTTGAATCGCCGATCGAATATGTTGCCATCTGTCACCAACCTGTACACAAGCAGTTTGCTGAGAGTGGATTTACCAATGCCGGGAACCCCAACAACAGCAACCAGTCGAGGCGGCTCTCCATTGGATTCCATTGGGTCAAAGAGTTGCAGAAAGGTCATGCCATTGCTAATCACTTCCTGCATCATCGTCTCATGCTCACAGGCCCTGTCAAGGAATTCGTGCCTCTTACTCTCACCCCTACGGTGGTAACACACCAGCACAGGCTGCACAAACCTCTCTGGTATGAATATCGTTTCTCCGGGCAGGTAGTCTTGTAAAAATGAGGTTTCTCTCTTCATGTAAGTTTTGTATCTTTCGAGATGTTTACCTAAAGTGACAGAATCAAGTCGAACGTGTTAAGTTTTAATTGCCTTGAAATCAGAATCAGTATTTATACTGCAGGACAAATCCGGTGAGCTGTAAAGCTCTTTTTCACAGATGTCCAGGAGGGGTGCAGGGTAAGAACATCACAACAACAAACAGGACAAAACACAAGAGGAGTGCAAAGCATAGAAAAGGTAACCAAATCACTTAGAAATATATACAAATAAACTAAACTATTTTTATCTTACCAGGTAATGCCCATGGAACTATATAGCGCCTTTTCTGAAGCGACCTCGCTATCACAAATAATAGCTCAACGAAGTGGCTTATCATCATTATGTGCAAATGTATAGCAGCACAATCAAACATAATATCGAGAGTAGCATGATATTGAATATTAAAACACAGCAGAACATTAGCGTAGTGGTTAGCATACTGCGCTATAAATCAGTCAAACTAAGTTTAATTCCCAGCCATGACTAAGACCAGAATCAAAATCTTTATTTGTCCTGGAGGAATCCGATGAGCTATGAAGCTCTTTTACACAGTTGTTCAGGAGGGATCAGTGTTGTGACCAGCGATTCATAGCTCTGACAGCCCTTCACCAATTTCCCCTGAACAGTATGCTGAGGTACGGTTAAAAAAAACCACAACAACAACCCAGGAACGACACTTCATTGATTGACAAAGGACTGTGAAGTATAACTAATTGTAATTTAGACTGGGGATAGTTATCATTATAATGAAATTTGTGTGTGCGTGTGCCCCCATGTGTGCGTGTGTGTGGAGTGGTAGTGAAACGGTTAGCACGCTGCGCTACGAACCCGGCGATGCTCGTTTGATTCTCGCTCTCAACCAACACCTGTGACAACTATCTAATTGGGTCCTGGGGCTTCCCTAGGTCATCTCTGCATCGCCACTGAGGAGTGAAAGGTGGCCAGGCGTGGTTATTGTTTACCCACCCCCTTGTGTGCCATGCCGGCCCTCATAGGTGTAACTTGCTCACAGCACTTTACGCAACAGTCTGTTACGGCTATACTGGGGGATCTTTGTCTTTGTTTTTTTGATGCTCGCTTATAAAGACAGTCACTCCGATACTCTATCATCAGATCTGCGAAATATTATGGGTTGAAGAAAAAAACTGTTAAAATGTTCAAACACCAAATAGACACCTATTGCAATATATAAAATCTGCATTAACCACACATATCTGTGGTAAAACATACACACATTACGTAGGTATAAAATAAAACAAATCACGACGTTTCGGGCGCAACATAAGATCATACAAACATTCTTTGATAATAAGAATAATAACCTATGCGTTGTCTTTGAAACTCATTGTCCTACGCCAAAGACAGCCTCCATGCTGGCCTTGTCTAACCAAAGTCATGCCTTGCAATAGGTGCATATTTGGTGTTTGAACCACCGTAACACTTATATCATTGCCGGAAAGGTTAGAGCCTATTATCTTTTTCATTATTTTGATACTGGCAAAAAAGGGTCCTACTCACAAAAGATGTTGGACAAATCTAATACTGAGGAATTTACCAGTTTCTCCAATGTAGCAAAGACCACAGCATTTAACACACGTTGCAGAGCAAACCAGATTGGTGGAGGTCCATATAAACATATTGGTGCATCACAAATGATGCTCTGAGAGTTAACACAGTCTTTTTATATTCTTGAGTTCTTCCGGTAAAGTCACGTACTGTAGTAGGGAAACAATAAAATAATAAAAATATAAAACAATAAAATTTTCACGACGTTTCGACTGCAACACAAGCAATCATCATCAGGTGTGAAAACCTCAGCAAGAAAATTTGTAAAAAGTGGCGTTTTTTTTAACATTAGCACCACGGAGAGCGATTTGGCAGTTATTCAGATGGACGAGTCCATCTATGTTCGGAAAAGAGGCGGGGGGAGACGAAAGTAATGGATGCGGTCTGAAAGCCACTGTAAGCGTGAACAATCAATTAAGACCCGAAATGGTTTATCAAATCCTTCCAATGATTGCTAAGCCAGAATCCATCGTCTCGGTTGAAATTGTCTCTGTGTATATGTGGATAGCCTCATGAACGAATCTCTCATGGTAGCCAGATGGCTACCATGAGAGAACATAGATGGACTCGTCCATCTGAATAACTGCCAAATCACTCTCCATGGTGCTAACGTAAAAAAACGCCACTTTTTTAAAATTTTCTTGCTGTTGTTTTCACACCTGATGGTGATTGCTTGTGTTGCAGTCGAAATGTCGTGAGAATTTTATTGTTTTATATTTGTATTATTTTATTGTTTCCCTTCTACAGTACGAGACTTTACCGAAAAAAACAAGAATATGAATCCCTGCAGTCACGAAAGCTTTAAATCAAAACATAGTCTTTTGTGACCAATATTATCCATAATAGGTTTTTTTTTGTTTAGATCGCGTAAATATTTAAATATTTACATGATAGCCTAAAAAAACTTCTTATGGATGCTCTGGAAGTTTTCATCCGTGTTATTGGTTGACATGAAGAGGGAATTGTGTTGCGTCTTCTCTGATTGCATGGAAAAAGTGTCTGGTGTGCTCATCTCTAGTGTGTGTATTTCGCATTGAGCCATTTACCAGCAGGTCTGCGAGGTTTGTGTCCTCTGCGAAATCCACACAGAGGTGGTTCCTTTGAAATAGTTTTCATTATTTTGATACCGCGACTATAATGGGTTTCCCATAGGTTAAAACATTATTTGTCTCAAATGTGGACGAGTTCTGCTGTGAATGTTCACATGCTACAGTGTCCATACAAACTTCCACTCACCAAGAGCCGCTCTGGGGACGCCAAAGTCCCCGTCTCTGCCGAGTGTCAGGCCCAGTCCACGCAGATCCTCCTGGTGGCGTGAGACCCACTCGCTCATTCGGGGTATCCTGGAACTCAGTGGCAGAAGCACCTCCCGCAGGAACTGGCTGCAGGTGTCCTCCCCCTTGTCGAGCACCAGGTCGATGAGGCGTCTGATCTGTCCAACGGGGTCCGTGTCACTTCGGAGCTGTGCGTACTCCCTGCGCCGAATGATGTCATCTTGATCCGAACGGCAGAGCACGTCCGGCGCAAATGGATACAGATGTTCTTCCAGATACACTCGGTGCTTTTTTATAACTTTCCACGAGGGACCAGCATTTGAAGCCATGGCAAACAGCTGATGATATCCTAAATAAATAAATAAAACATTTTCAACTGTGAGACATTTCTTAATTAATGTAACAATTACTCTCATTACAATGACTATGCTATGACCTTGGTATCTTCCCATCTCATCGTCTTCAAGGAAGATGACGCTTTCCCCATGAAACGCCTTTATGGATCCACAAATATTCACCACAACATGCCCCACTCACCTCTGCCACCCTCATGTACTTACGATAACGAGTCAGTTTTGCCTGGCACTCGGGCTCAGGTGAAAACATTTGTGGTGGAAGGATTAGGCGTGGTGGTTTTAGACTCCAGGATTCAGTTTTCTACTAATATAAAGAACCTTGGCACCACACTCGACCAGAATGTTGTTGATCACCAAGTGCAAAATACAGTCAGGTCCTGATATTTTAATATCAGGGCTCTACGACACATTTGACCACTACTGAGTTGAGACATAGCCAACATGTTGGCTTGTAGCATACTATCGACACGGAACGTTTATTGCAACTCACTACTCTACGGGACCTCTGTAAAAACAAAACATTACACCAAGCTGCAGCCTGTACAAAATTATTTAGCACGTGTAGTGATAGGAACTGAGAGATCCAACTGTGTCCGTCCAGTGCTCACCGAGCTGCATTGGCTTCCGGTTGCCAATTGAATACATTATAAGGTCACCACGTTCATTACATACAGAGTGCTTGCCACAAATGAACCACAATACCTCGCTGATCTCGTCAAGGAGCATAAACGTGAACTTCGCTCATCCTCGCAGCAGCTTTTGGCTAACCATCGAACAATGACAGTCACTGCTTCGCGAGCTAACAGATACGTTTCTGTGGGTATCTGGAACGCTATTCCCGCCGATATTAGGAAGACACTGGAGCTATGCACTTTAAATCATCTAGATAAAAAATATTATACTTTAGAACTGCAATTAGCATGGTTGGCTAAATGCGGTTGGCAACACCAGTGACAATTATCTGAACCGGTCCCGGGCCTCCACTAGGTCGACTCAGCCTCAAATGAGTACCTAATGCGGTGTGTAAACATCGCCACTGGGGAGACAAAGGCGGCCAGGCGTGGTGCTGGCCACCCCACCCTCTCGTGTGCCATCCCGGCCTTCATAGGTGCTCGCTAACAGCACTTGCCCCAACAGTCTATGACAGGCTATACTGGGGGCTTGTTTCTTTGTTTGTGTACTGTATGTATGTGAACATGCAAGCATCTGTGTGTGTGCGGTTCTGACGTGGCAGTCCATTTGTTGATACCACTGTGCTCCAAACCCCGGCAATTTCTTTGATCCCTCACCATGGATTGCACGTGACATCATAACTTGTCCAGAATATTCTCCTCCTCATGTGCAAGTCGGTTTCTATAATAAGTACTCGCTAAAAATGGAAGGTTTGTCATGTAAACAAAACTCGCCAATCAGTTACCAGTTCAACACACCGGTTGTGTGTTGGAGAATAAACCCACAAGATATACAATGAGAGTACTGTAGCGCTTCAGCGGTAATTACAACAATCAGCTTCATCGATCGCTTTTTTCATCGTCTCTGTTGTAAATGTTGAATAACGAAGTGATCTTCTTTGGTTCTTTCGGTAAAGTCACGTAGAATGAGAATAAAATAAAAAAAGACAATATTAATTTATTATTTATTCTCATTCTACGTGACTTTACCGAAAGAACCAAAGAAGATGAATCCTTGCAGTCACGAAAGCTTTAAATCGAAATTTAACGAAGTGATCTCAAAGTCTCAGCTGTCATCAAAAGTGTCCACACTTGGCAGTGTCCTGTCGCTTAGACAGTGCTGCGTGTCTCCTCCACTTTGCACAGAGGGGGGCTGCTGCTCAAGGTTCCGTGAGGACCTCATGAAGTGGTCACAGAACCACAGAGGGCCCAACTATAAAAAAGACAAACAGCGGTGGGAAAACAACTCACGAATCTCTATAACGCAAGACCACAGCAGCAAAATGGATCATATTTCCTACTTCTTTTAATATTAAAGGGTGCCGCAGTGGCTAGGAGATGTTAACTACCTTGCCTGGTATGCAGGAGGTTGTGGGTTCGATCCTGACCCTGAGGCATGCTGTATATTTGGAGTTTGCACATCTCTCTCGCTCCCGATGATTACGTGGATTTTTCTCTGTTTCCTCCGTTTTTGTCCTCCACATTAATAATCAACATCATGCGTTTGAGGTGTTTGGCTGCGGCTCTAATTTCCACGTGATAAGCCACCTCGTTGATCTATCATTTGTGATGACCAGTTTGCTTCTAAAAAAGAGCTACATACAGTGAGGGAAAAAGTATTTTATCACCTGCTGATTTTGTACGTTTGCCCACTGACAAAAAATGATCAGTCTATAATTTTAATGGCAGGTTTAGTTGAACAGTGAGAAACAGAATAACAACAAAAAATTCCAGAAAAATCCATGTCAAAAATGATATAAATTGATTTGCATTTTAATGAGGGAAATAAGTATTTGACCCCTCTGCAAAACATGACTTAGTACTTGGTGGCAAAACCCTTGTTGCCAATCACAGAGGTCAGATGTTTGCACACATCTCAGGAGGGATTTTGTCCCACTCCTCTTTGCAGATCTTCTCCAAGTCATTAAGGTTTCGATTCGAGGCTGACGTTTGGCAACTCGAACCTTCAGCTCCCTCCACAGATTTTTTATGGGATTAAGGTCTGGAGACTGGCTAGGCCACTCCAGGACCTTGATGTGCTTCTTCTTGAGCCACTCCTTTGTTGACTTGGCCGTGTGTTTTGGGTCATTGTCATGCTGGAATACCCATCCACGACCCATTTTCAATGCCCTGGCTGAGGGAAGGAGGTTCTCACCCAAGATTTGACGGTACATGGCCCCGTCCATCGTCCCTTTGATGCGGTGAAATTGTCCTGTCCCCTTAGCAGAAAAACACCCCCAAAGCATAATGTTTCCACCTTCATGTTTGAAGGTGGGGATGGTGTTCTTGGGGTCATAGGCAGCATTCCTCCTCCTCCAAACACGGCGGGTTGAGTTGATGCCAAAGAGCTCCATTTTGGTCTCATCTGACCACAACACTTTCACCCAGTTGTCCTTTGAATCATTCAGATGTTCTAGATTTGAAGTTTTCGTGACTGCAAGGATCCAAACTCTTTGGTTCTATTCGGTAAAGTCACGTAGGTAAAAAATAAAACAAAAATCACGACGTTTCGGCCACAACACAAGTGGCCTTCTTCAGGTGAAGGAACAGAACTGTCGGGACGACAGCACTTCAATGACAGCTGCTAAGATTCGCAGCGTCCTTTAAGCTTGGTGAGGGGAGCAGGGCGCCTTGACCAAGGAGTTTAGATATCAAGAATAGCTGTGTTAAAGTGTTGAAACAGCAGGGTGTTAAAGTCAGAAAATTAGCATGTAACTGGGGGATTAGCATGTTTTTGTTGTGTAGAGGGTGTGGAGGATGGGTCACTATGTGTGTGCAATTGAAACGGAAAAATTAAAAGATTGGCAAGAATGTGCTGTGAGGGGAGAGTAGAAAAAAAAGGGTTTAATAGAAAGTTCAGAAGGAATATGCTTGGTATACCATTACTTGAAATTGCTGTTAGAAATTAGTCCGGTTCAACACAGTACACAAAATCCGGGACCTGATCCCATCCGTGAAGGATGTCATCCCTGACTTACAGTACCCCGGAGTTTACAAATTGAGCTGCACCTGCGGTGATTGCTATATCGGGGAGACGAAACGACATATCTCTGACCGAATTCGCGAGCACAAATCAGATCTGAAACACGGCAGAACGAATTCATCTGCTCTGGCTGATCATTGTTACAACGCTATGGGTGATCATGAGATTGTCTTCTCCGATACCAAGGTTCTTTGTAAACCTATAGGTTATCACCAGAGATTTGTTCACCAAGCCATTCAGATATACAAACAGAGACATAACTTCAACCGAAAGGATGGTTTCAAATTAAGCAACCATTGGAAAGACGTTTTAAATCATACCAAACGTCAACTAATTTCTAACAGCAATTTCAAGTAATGGTATACCAAGCATATTCCTTCCGAACTTTCTATTAAACCCTTTTTTCTACTCTCCCCTCACAGCACATTATTGCCGATCTTTAATTTTTCCATTTCTATTGCACACACATAGTGGCCCATCCTCCGCACCCTCTACACAACAAAAACATGCTAATCCCCCAATTACATGCTAATTTTCTGGCTTTAACACCCTGCTGTTTCAACACTTTAACACAGCTATTTTTGATATATAAACTCCTTTGTCAAAGCGCCCTGCTCCTCCCACCGAGCTTAAAAGACGCTGCAAATCTTAGCAGCTGTCACTGAAGTGCTGTCGTTCCGACAGTTCTGTTCCTTCGCCTGAAGAAGGCTACTTGTGTTGTGGCCGAAACGGCGTGATTTTTGGTGTTTTATTTTTTACCTACGTGACTTTACCGAATAGAACCAAAGAATACATTCAGATGTTCATTGGCAAACTTCAGACGGGCATGTATGTGATTTCTTGAGCAGGGGGACCTTGCGGGCGCTGCAGGATTTCAGTCCTTCACAGCGTAGTGTGTTACCAATTGTTTTCTTGGTGACTATGGTCCCAGCTGCCTTGAGATCATTGACAAGATCCTCCCGTGTAGTTCTGGGCTGATTCATCACCGTTCTCATGATCATTGCAACTCCACGAGGTGAGATCTTGCATGGAGCCCCAGGCTGAGGGAGATTGACAGTTCTTTTGTGTTTCTTCCATTTGCGAATAATCACACCAACTGTTGTCACCTTCTCACCAAGCTGCTTGGAAATGGTCTTGTAGCCCATTCCAGCCTTGTGTAGGTCTACAATCTTGTCCCTGACATCCTTGGAGAGCTCTTTGGTCTTGGCCATGATGGAGAGTTTGGAATCTGATTGATTGATTGCTTCTGTGGACAGGTGTCTTTTATACAGGTAACAAGCTGAGATTAGGAGCACTCCCTTTAAGAGTGTGCTCCTAATCTCAGCTCGTTATCTGTATAAAAGACACCTGGGAGCCAGACATCTTTCCGATTGAGAGGGGGTCAAATACATATTTCCCTCATTAAAATGCAAATCAATTTATAATATTTTTGACATGTGTTTTTCTGGATTTTTTTTGTTGTTATTCTATCTCTCACTGTTCAAATAAACCTACCATTACAATTATAGACTGATCATTTCTTTGTCAGTGGGCAAACGTACAAAATCAGCAGGGGATCAAATACTTTTTTCCCTCACTGTAGCTCAGTGGGCCTTACCTGGTAAAATAAAAATAAAAAAATAGTTAATATTTCCACACTCCAGGCCATCAATCCAGCTGATGGGAGTAACTGCGATGAGCCAATCAGAACCCGCGGCATCGGTCTCACGCCTGTTGGAGACTCGGCGGCACCTGGCCAGTTCATCATAACCTGGGGCAAAGACCGGGACAAGGGACTCAATAGGGAACTCAAATATGCTTGGCCTTTTCATCATAATCTGATATACAGCCCTGGACAATGAGTGACTTGGCAAGGAATGTGGGACCAGGGATATAACAGATGAGAGCGAGAGAGGAGACGGGAGTTCTGGATGCAGAATGCTGAAGCGTGGCATTGTTGTATATATGCCCTTTTCAAAAAAATCCATTAAGTGTGATATTATATGCTTTGGTTCTTTCGGTAAAGTCACGTAGGTAGAAACATAAAATACAACTAATATATCACGACGTTTCGATCGCAACACAAGCGGTCGTCCTCAGGCGGAAAAAAATATCCAGCAGTGGAACTGCTGAATCAGCGAGAGAGCTGTTACAACAAGAGGCTATTTACGTGGCGATGGGCAAGCAGGCGGGGTCTGAGCTGGAAAGGAATTCCATCCCCGGACGCAAGCATGTCAGTTGTGAAAGAGAGATTAGGGAGAGAGATTAGCATGAAATGAGCTTCCGTTGCCGCATAAGAGTATTATCCCCGCATATGCGCACAACAGCAGTGTTAATGGGAGATTAGCGCTATGTTGATGGGAGAGATTAGGCAGGGAGATTAGGGGAATTAGTAAGTTAATGTCAGGTCTATGTGTAACACAAGCTGCGGCGCTGCCAACTGCGCTGTGAGGCAAGCGCGTCCACGCAAGAGAACAACCGCAACGGTGGCCGCGCCAGTGAGACAAAAAGCCCATCACAGCCAGAACCATCGATACATCGAGGCTAAGGGAGCGGAGGTTGCCATGTTAGTGAGACCCCAGCTCGTTAATGCAGAGGCACCTAACAGGGCAATGCAACTCAGAGAGTCGGAGATAAGGGGCCGTCCATAAACGACGTCACGCGATTTTGGCCGATTTTTTTTACCCCCCTTCCCTCCCTCATAACACGGCGTCACAAAAAGTCATACCCCCTCAAATATGACGTCACAAAGCTCTGCCCCCCCCCAAAATCATATTTACATTTTGAAAATTAAACACGCTTCAAATCACTTTAAACTATTATCATTGTAGTGTGTATTTAATGTGGCGCTACACTCTGATGTTGGAGAAAACATGTATTAAAAAGGCGTTGGAAAACTGAAATTTAGCATAACATTTACTTGAAAATATTCATCATCTAACTAAAACTGCAGATGTTCAGAAAATTGAAATTCTCTTATAATTATAAAATATTAAAAGTAATTATAATTATGAAAAATATTTAAACTTCGTAGTAGAACGAAGCAAAATGGAGAGTACAATTATAACTATCACATATTCATTCCACAGAATGAAAAGCCCTGGTAGAATCATGAGAATCAAAATGTTTAATAACAATCATTCAAAAAATTTACCAAATTTATGCTTCTCCATTCTCCCATGGAGAAGCAAAATGCTCCTTCATGGAATAAAAAAAACTAGTTAATATTTTTTGCGCATAAAATACTAAATCGTGCACACGATATACTGAATCGTGAGAAGTAAAAAAAAAATTCCCTAAGGGAACTTCGTAGTTAAATTAAAGATCCTAAATGGGTAAATTCAGTCACTCATGGTTTATCGTAGGACAATGGTGAAAAGAAGCATGATGCCATTTTCTGGGTATAAAGAACTAAAATTACTGTATATGGAGGAATAATTAATCATGGAGGACACGTTGGCTATTGTATGCTTGCCGAATGACGTATATTTAGTAGGTACTCTATGATTAATTATCCCTCCATGCTCAAAAATGTCTGTTTGATATCTTTGTACCCAAAAACTTTTTTTCCTATATTATAAATGTTATCGTAACATAATCGTATAAAAATTTAATACTGATTTTAAAATATATATTTAATGAACACATTTATGTGATTTAAAATTCTGTCGATTGATATGACAGGAATAATAGTTTTAAAATTTTGATTTAAAGCTTTCGTGACTGCAGGGATTCATATTCTTGGTTCTTTCGGTAAAGTCACGTAGAAGGGAAGCAATAAAATAATAAAAATATAAAACAATACAATTCTCACGACGTTTCGACTGCAACACAAGCAACCATCATGAGGTGTGAAAACCACAAGAAAATTTGAAAAAAAATAGTACTTACGTTTTTAAAATTCTTATTTGAAACTATCAAGCGTTTTTAACATAACGACTGCATTAAAATTTTATTTGCACTTCCTCTTCCTGACGAAGTATTACTATCTATAAAAGTGTGACTCAGTTTGACTTCTGGTTGTTATGTTTAACATTATAATATAATCTATACCATAAATAAAAGGTGGCCTTAATAAATTTGAATAATAAAAAAGTTAATAATGATAATGTATCAAAATTAGTGTTGTTACAACAATTCTATTTAATTAAGTAGAACGTTTTGATTTAAAGCTTTCGTGACTGCAGGGATTCATAGTCTTGGTTCTTTCGGTAAAGTCACGTAGAAGGGAAACAAAATAATAATACAAATTCTTGCTGTGGTTTTCACACCTGATGATGATTGCTTGTGTTGCAGTCAAAACGTCGTGATAATTTTGTTTCTTTTTTATTATTTTATTATTTCCCTTCTACATGACTTTACCGAAAGAACCAAGAATATAAGTAGAATGTGTTGTTTATATTTATTTAAAGTTGCGCATTTTGATGTGATGTCACATTTCTCAACCCTCCCCCCCCCCTCGTCACACATCCTCACAAATGTCTGAACCTCCCCCCCCCCCCAGGTGTGTGACATCATCTATGGACGGCCCCTAGCAGCCAAACGGCAGGGAAGAATGGAAGCACCACAGCAAGTTACGACTTTGCTTGGTTAATAATGTCCTTCGAATGATTGCTCAACATATACCCATCTTCTCGGTATAAATTGTCTCTGTGTTTATTTATCTGGATGGCTTCATGGACAAATCTTTGATGGTAGCCCGAAGGTTTGCATTGTACCTTGGTCTCGGAAAAAAACAATATCGTGCGAGCCCACTGCCTTATAACAATGATCAGCCACTGCATAGATATTGGTTCTGCTGTGTGAAAAATCTGCCTTGTGTTCGCGAACACGGTCAGAGACATGTCGTTTCCCCAATATAACTGTTGCCGCAGACACAACTTAGTTTTGTAGACACCAGGGTATTGCACGTCAGGAATGACATCCTTCACAGAAGGGATAAAATCACGGATTTTGTCTACTGTATTGAATCGGACTTGGATCTAGTGTTTGTTTAAGATTTTTGAAATATTTTTGGTAACACCTGCTATGTATGGCAAGGTGATGGTTTTGATTGGGTCCTCAGATGGTTGTCTCCCCATGGTTGGGGCTACAGCTTTGAGGATTGTGCTGTCTGAGTATCCATTCATCTTCAGGGCTTGGTGTACGTGCTCCAGTTCACTGGCTATTTGGCGCTGGTCGGAGATGCAGCGGACCCTATGGTGTAGTGTTTTGATGAGAGAGTTCTTCTGGGCCGGATGGTGGTGGGAGTCAGGCTTTAGATAGGAATCCTACAGAAAAGCCACCCACACGGATCCGAGGCTGCTGCGGGGTCCACTTTCTGCCCCGCTTCCTACGCACCCCCCCCCCCCTTCTCTCTCCCCCCTTGCAGCTGACCTCTCCAGTGCTGCTGCGGTGGCCCACTTTACTCCAGTGACCCGGGTGCTGCTGCGGGGTCCACTATCTGCCACGCCTCCTCCCCCCCCCCTTCTCTCTCCCCCCCTACTGCCGAGGCCTATATAACCTAGTGCCATGGAAGATCTCTCACCTACTTCAACAGTTTTTTTTCTTGCAGTGGTTGTCCCACCTGATGACGATTGCTTGTGTTCCGATCGAAACGTCGTGATCGATTTTACCTAAAGAACCAAAGAGTATGGTCAAGTGACTGTTTTATGAGTTTTGGATAGGCCGGGAGTGAGCAAGCAAGGAGCAGTGCTGCACAGCAGGAGACCTCCCTACGAGAGGGGTGGCACCAAGGGTGCTCGCGTGAACCAAGCGGCTCTGCTGAAGGCAACGTGCTGAGCAGGGTGGCCACAGAGCACTCCAGCTGCACATCAAGCATGATGCACAGACAACACTGCAAAGGAGCAGTGAGCAGCGTGGCTATCAGCACATTGCAGCTATGAACCAAGCTTGCCATTCTACACATCGTTGTGGGACTTGAGGCAATTTTTGGGAAGAAAGAAGACAGGAGGAGGAACATTCACTTTTCACTCACTCACTCACTATTGTTAATTGTACCTTGTACACTTTGTGGGCTAAGAAGAATCTCAGCTTGCATGCCTCACACACCATAACAAAAGGAATTGTGTTTTGTCACGTTAATATGAGAAATTAGACTATTTTTTATTTTAATCACGTCATCGTGAGATCAAATCGTGGAAGCTAACTATTTTATACGTATTTAATGAGCACGCATTTTGTAGCAATATTGCCATTTTGAGGTTTCGCCTATTATTTTGTTTAACCACGTGATCGTGAGATTTGACATTGATGCTTTTGTGATCATCCAGTACGGATTCATGAGTACGTATATTTGCATGTGATATAACATTTGCTTAGATTAAAACAGGTTTCCGAGTGCTTCTTTCCAAAACTCGTACATTATTGTCTTAATTACAAGAAATGAATCATGCAGTGAGATCTGAATAGTGAAACCTGACATAATTACATATATAATTGTTAAGGCAAGAATCAGTAAATGTTAAAGCGAGAATTATAAATATTATCACGATTGGTGATACACGCCCCTAGATAACGAGAGCCAATAACTTTACACACATCATCGCTTCATAATAATCACACACATAATCATCACATACACACACATTACTTATTAACATAAATCATTAATCTTTTTAATACTCTCACATTTTTGTTAATTACATGAATATATATCTAATTATTTAATTATGTTTCATATTTTATTTTTTACAAATTATCACAAATATACAACAGCGTGTTACCTGGCCGTGCGACCGGGGACATTACCTGTGGGTCATCTACTGAAGA